GATGAAATCGGATAGGGATGAAATCGTTTAGGGATGAACGAGTTTAAGAGTTTTTAAGAGTTTTAGCCAAATGTTTTATAAGATAGTATAGATTATATTATTAAACCAAAAAATTACTTTGTTATTAAATCTAAATTAACGTATAATAAAAAAATTGAATTAAATAAATTACACAAAAAAACGAGAATTATTAAATAGTTAATTTGATACTAATATCGATTTATTTTTTTCAAAATATTATGTTATTTTCAAATTTATATTTCATTCAAAAATAAAAACATTATCATTTTCTCAAAACCATATAAAATCGTATTATATCGATAGAGACTGAATAAAAACTAAACACTAAAATGAAGATTTATCTATCTGCATTGCGGGAGTACCTTCTAGTAATAATAAAATATATATAATATTTTAGAAAGTAGAAATGCAAAAATATTTTCGGTCTTCTCGATGAGGGTGGGATTAGGTTGTAAATATAAGTACATTAAGGCTAGATAGAACATGACTAGACAACTTGTCCGTAAAAATTGTTTGATGATTTTATAAGTCATATAATAGTTATAAAAAACACAAATCAAGTAAATATTTAAATATTTTAATTTATAAATATTTTTACACAATTTTTATATACAAAAGTACATACATATATGAATGAAAATTTTGGTATAACTAGTGGAGGCGCAGTGCAAGTTGTTGTAGCCACAAGGTGGTTGTGGTGGAGGCACGGTGCAAGTTGTTGTAGAGAGATGGTAAATGGTGGAGGCAATGGCAAATGGTGGACGACAGTGATTGTGGAGGATGTGCAGATGGTAGATAGACGATAGTGGTAATACTTGCAGTCCACAGTGGTAGAGTTGGTAGTTGTGGCTGATGTGGTGGAGGTAGAGATAATGGTGGGCGGTGGTAGTGGTAGCCAATGGTGGAGGATGTAAATATTAGAGATGGCAAAAAACGGTCATGAGCCGATCTGGACCCAAATCAATCCCGATCCCAAACACTATCCCTGTAATTGGTCTTGGTCTAGACCAAAAATCCAAGGCCCGGTTAAGGTTTAACATAAGCAATTATGAGAACCGGTCCTGATCCCAGGCCTAAATCAGTCCCACTTAAAAAAATGATTTTTTACATATGAATTTTTTTATAAAATACAATAATGTTATTCTATAACACTTTAAAATATATAACTGAGTTAATAAAATACACTTAAAAACGTTTTATTATAATTGGTTAAAAACGGAAATTGAATACGAGATGAAATCATGAATTATAGTGAGAATTGTGAACGTTTTTTGTGTTTGTGAGTTGGTATCTTCCCCATACATCATATGACTTATATATTGTGTGTAGAGGGTCAATGAGACAAAAAAAAAACGGTTATTTGACCGTTCCAACGGCCATAAAGAAAACGTAATATTTTTTGAAAAATTCGGGTCGGGCCTATAACCAGTCCCATACCGGTCCTGGTTTGGGTCAGGCCTTGTTTCTGGATGAAAAGTTTAACTGGTCATTAACTGGCGGTCCCAATTGGTCCCGGGACAGGCCGATCTCGAACCTCCGTTGGAAGGGGCCCATTTGGCCATCACTAGGACAAGAGGCACAGTGAAGGTTATTGCAACGACAATAGTGGTGGAGGTTGAGGCGATCGTGATTGGTGGACTACAATAGTGGCGGATCTGAGCTTTAAACATCGGGGAAAGTCCCCCAATCAAAAACAAAAAACCTTTGTTGACTAGCTCAAATTTTCTATTTTCACTATCATCTTACATAGTTTTCCCCCAACCCCATACGGCCATATGCTTCCCTCCCCCAAGTCCCATCCAATGTAAACAAAGATCCCCCAACCCCAATCTCTCTAGATCACATATTGTTTTTTTTACTGCCTCTGTATATTGTTTTGTTATAGAATTTTTCGTTTCTAATATATTTTTTCCATAATTTTGAGGTTTCGGTTTCTATGTATTTTTGTTCCAAATTTATTTTTGAATTTTTGCCTATGTTCTATATTTTTTTTTTGATTTTGTATTTCCATGTTAGTTATTTTTGGCGTGTTTATAGGTTTGTAATTTTCTATAATGCTATGTTTTGAAACAAGTTGTAGACTTGTACTGTTGTATGTAGTAGAATTTTAAGTAGGTAATAAGATAAACAACTATTAATTAAGCATTTACTGATTTGTTCAATTATTTGTTAGAAAATAGAAAGATTTTCGGAGAAAATTTATCAACATATTGATCCAATATTGTCAGTACTGGAGAAGAATCTTCAACTTGAAACGTCTAGTATATTATCTCCCAACCTAGCTTATTTTTAGTGATACGACACTTGTTACGTGCCCCCGCCCCATTAATTTTCTGGATCCGCCACTAGACTACGGTGACGATATAGATGGTGGTGGCTGGTAGACTACGGTAATAGTGGAGGATGTGAAAGCGGTGGACAATGGCGGTGGCGTCAACAATGGTGGACGAGGTAGTTATGACCGACGTGTTGAAGTTAAAGGCGCAGGGGCGGAGCTAGGAAATTTATCTAGGAGTGCCCATAAAAAATGTAAGAAATTCACGATTTCAAGGTTGAGAAAACCATTTTAAGTATATATGTTTTTTAATAAACACTTGTCATAGAAATAGTTGTAAAAAAGAGTTGAAAAGTATCAGGGACATAAACAACATAACGACGTTTATACTTATACAAACAAATACAAAATGTGTGTAAACCCCTTTGAAAATACTTACACTTATCGAAAAAAGTTTGTATATTGAATTTGTAACGTGTTTATTATTAGACCCTATAGAAAACTTGACATTTATAACGGAAGAAAAAAAAAGAATGTGATATTTATAAACAAAGTTTCAAGTGGGTAACAAAGGTTTGGGATTATAACAAAATTTATTTTGAAGTTTGAAAGGGAGCCAATGCCCTTCTCGATCCAAGGTGACTCCACTCTTGGGTAGAGGCGGTGGTTGTGATTGCCGATGATGGTGGTGGTGGTGACGTCAACAACGACGGATGGTGATGACCATTAAAATAAATATCATATTAAGTCATATCAAATGAGCATAGATTATTAGTTTTTTAGTTTCTGTCTCATTTTATCCATCTTGTCCCGCCTAATCCGAGTCTGACATCACATCAACATAGGAGAGTTAGTTTTTGTATTGTTCCTTGTCATGCCAAGCATAAGACAATAAGTCATGCCCTCTTATCTCCTATGTATACAAAGCCAAAGAAAACAAGCGAATCTTGATGGTGGATCCGAACCGAGCTTAATGGCCCAACCAACCCGCCTCGAAGTAAAACCTCATTCGACCCTAACTAGCGGTAAGCAAAGGCGGGTATCCGGCCAAAATTCATGGAACCAGTCCCGCAACCGGAAGCAAAACCGGTGGTTCCTAGAATGAAGGAACCGAAACCGGTTACACCGGTTCTTTTTATTTTGGAACCGGTCCCAGAACCGCCGGTTCCGGTTCTAGTACCGGGTACCCGGCGTCTAATTCTTTTTCAAAAAGTTTATCATTTCATGCTATAAAAAAAATAACTATTTGTGTATTACAAAGCACCAACGTAAATAAATAAATACTACAAAGCGTGAAAACTAATCCGATATAAAGAAATAAATACTACAAAGCACCAACGTAAATGAAACATTTTTAATGAACAAAAGAAACTACTGTATCAATGAGTAAACATTAGTAATGAACAAAAAGAATCCTACCGAATCAAACCCATGGTATCCATGAACAAAAAAACCTACTGTTTCCATCATGTTGCTAAGGATAATTTACTCATGAACAAAAAAAACCTACTATATCCATCAGGAACAAAAAAACAAATAAAAGTTAATAAAACCATAAAGATATGTTATTAAACAAAGATAGGGTTTAACATGAAAGAAAAAACAAGCAACATTACAGAAATCGACAAACAAACACAAACAGTAGACATGGAGAAGAAGTTGACTACAAAATTCATTGCCTTTGAAGAAAAATTGAGTGCGGAAATCGTTACCTTCGGAGGAGAGATCGATTAAGTGCAGAAATCAATTTGGAGGAGTGATCGAGTGCATAAATGGATTTGAAGAAAAGGCTATGAAACCGTGTTCGGTTTAGAGGAGAGATCAAGTGTAATTGCGGTAAGTGCCTAAATGTAACTTTAAAAAAATTACATGTACTCGTCGGTCGCAGTTATGGCCTTATGGGCACCCAGCAGTTAACGGTTAAAAAAAATGAGACCGGAAGCGGTCTCGATTGGTTTCAATTCCGGAAGACGGGTACTCGAGTGATGCTGACCCCTAACCCTAACCCCTACACCTCGTCCTAGACCGCCGTGCACAACGGTTTCCGGGCTCCAGCCCCCCAGTTCTCGAGCTCCGATTCCTAATCTCAATTCTCGAACCAACCTAAAATCATCGTCTTCCATTGAATAAACGAATCAGGATGGTCCAGAACGAGTTCGAAATGCGGCGAAGCTCCCTTGAAATTTAGAAAAACATTATTGATATCAAATTCAAAAATTCATTGGTTACACCTTGAGCTCCCCTCATAGACCCCACGACCTCCCTCCTCATCCGCTCTCCGCCTCACACAGCCACACAGACCGCTCACACGGCCGTTGTTCTGCTGTCTCTGACAGCTCCCCCCTTATTCAGGTTAGATACTTCGAAATTAGGGTTTTGAAATTAGATACTTAGAACGTGGGTAATTGTTTGAACTTTCAATATGGCAATGTGCTTTATTCCAGAACCAACGTTAAAAAAGGCTAAGGCTACCTGAAATCAGAATTCCGCTTAGAAGAAGACACTGGTTTTGAACCTTTGGTTGACTGGTTTTGCTTTCTGGTAAGAATTCTGGATTAGCCCTTTCTTTTTGGTTCACACTGCTTCTTTTTGGGTATTTCTTGTTTGTTTGAAATTGGCATATCCGCAAATATATGTTTGTTTCATTGTTTGAACTTTGGTGTTTTGTCATTCTTGATGTAAGGATTTCTTGTTCTACAATGTTTCTGACATTATTGATTTCAATATAAATGCTTTCTGAATTTGCGTGTGGCTTATATTTGTGTGATCAGGGGTAAAAACCCACTGCATTTGTGTTTGCGACCATCACACGACGGCCACTGACCTTTAGGCCACTGTCTGACCACCAGTGTGGCATCCAAACAGTCTATTCGGCTTGTCATGCATACTGAACAACAACATTCATTAAAACAAAACTTAAATACGTATTCCTTACCTCAAATGGCCTGTTGATGATAAATCAAAATCCCTACCTTTAAACACTGCGGCTTCAAATCCTTGTATCTTCTTTATGTTTTCAGTATGATTTGAATGAAACTTGTTGGTATATACATTTATTAAAATGTTACAGGTTTTATTTCGGTTTGCCTGATGTTGATTGTGTAATATATTACAAGAATATCCTTGTTAGCCTCTGCTACTGCCTCTTTTTTTTAACATTTCTCAAATTGATTTATTTATTAGAATTATGTAATGCAAGGATGTTATAATGAGAATCTTCCCAACATCACCAGCTCAATTGGAGATCTCTTGAAGCAAGTTTTAGATGGAGAGTCTTTATGTTAATCCATTGATCTTAATGAAGAATCTTTGGCTTTAAAAACTGTGGCTATTCATGTCCTGGCAATTTAACTCCTGCTTCATTAATGTTATTTTTTTTCTTCTCAGGTTCATCCTTTTTGTCTGTGTTTATGATGAACCCATCAACCTCAGTTATCAGATTCTCTCCCTTCCCCGTTGATCCTCCATGCACCTGCCGGATTCCCTCCGATACAGTGGCCAAAGGCTGTTGGTAGGCGGCAGTCTTGTACCTATTATGTAACTGGTAGTCATGACCTTTCTCTATATCAATTTAATACAATGCTTCACAATAATTGGTTCCCGAGTTACATGACAGCATATATTCGTGATTCCCCATTGAGAAGGGCTGGCACACTAAATGCTATTTTGTCGCGTTGCTTTTCTTTTACTCCCCGTGAGGTGTTTGATAGAAGTCCCGAAAGACATGTAGTCACTATGCATGACAATGAGTGCGAAGCATTGGCATCTTTTGTCCAGAGAAATAGCTTAGGCATGAAACCCTCTAAGTTTCAGCTTTGCACTGCTCTTAATTGCTGTGCCAAGACACAAAACTCGCACCTGGGTTCGCAAATCCATGCCAAAATACTTCATATAGGTCTCGATCAGAATTTGTATATAAATAGTTCATTGGTGAACGCGTATGCCAAATGTGGTGCTATTGTTGATGCAATGAGCGTTTTTAATGGAATAGAATTTCATGACACAGTATCATGGACTTCAATGATATCCGGGCTTTCACAAAATGGGCAGGGAAGAGAAGCCCTTTGTTTATTCAAACAAATGTTGGCAACTCTAGTTAGACCGAATTGTTTCACTTATGTTGGCGCTATTAGCGGGTGTACAGAGCAAGAATCTGTATGGAAATGTGGTGAGTTGCTCCATGCTCATGTTATAATACTAGGGCATGAAAATAACAACTTTGTGACAAGCTCTCTCATCGATTATTATTCAAAATGTGGGAAAATGGAGAAAGTTGTGGTTTTATTTGAGGCATGCGCAACAAGTGATCCTATTCTTGTGAATTCTATGATCTCAGCATACTCCCATAACCTTCAAGGCGAAGAGGCAATCAAACTTTTTATGAAAATGCGTAATGCGGATGCGAGCCTGAGTGAACATGCTTTGACCAGCATTTTGGATGCTTGTGGGGCCTTGACGGTTCTCCAACAAGGAAGACAGGTGCATGCTTACGTAACAAAGGTGGGTTCAGTTCACAACGTGTTTGTGGTTGGTGCTTTGATCGATATGTACTCAAAATGTGGCAACATTGATGAAGCTCTTTGTGTTTTTAATGAGGCAGACTACAAAAACAACATATTATGGACTTCAGTGATCACAGCGTGCGCACAAAGTGGTAGAAGTCTGGAGGCTTTGGAATTCTTTGATCATTTAGTGATCAAGGAAAAAAGATTCAGCCCAGATCATGTATGTTTCACGGTCGTTTTGACTGCTTGCAACCACTCTGGACTTCTTGATAAAGGGATTGGGTATTTTGAAAAGATGAGGTCAGATTATAATTTGGTTCCTGAAATCGATCAATATGCTTGCTTGATTGATCTTTATGCAAGAAAAGGTGATCTTAAAAGGGGGAAAAAGGTAATGGAGGAAATGCCATTCACTGCAAATGCTGTGATGTGGAGTTCTTTCTTGAGTTGTTGTAAAGAGTATGGGAACGTAGAGCTTGGGAAAGAGGCAGCTTATAAGCTGTTTGAACTCGAACCACATAGTCCTGTGCCATATCTGATTTTAGAGGATATATATGCCGGCGCCGGTTTATGGAATGAGGTGCTTCAGTTAAGGAAGTTGATGAATGATAATGGAGTAAGAAAATGTACAGCAGGGTGTAGTTGGGTTGAGATAGAGAATGAAGTGCATGTTTTCTCTGTGGGTGATTCATCTCATCCTGAGTCAGAGGACATTCATTTGGAATTGAGAAAGCTTAGCTTGGAGATGTTGAATGAAGTGCATGTTTTCCCACGGAATGCTCCTAAGAGTGGCGATTACGAGTTGATGATGATAAGCTCGCTCTTCTAGCCACCACAGAGATGTAAGCTGAAGAAGAGAGAAAGCCAGAACAAGAGAAGAGGTAGGGTGTTAAGGAGAAAACAGCCACTCTGCCCATGTTTTTCCAAGAACAACCACCCCACCATTCTTTTTGAAGAACAAATTCACCAGCAAAACCCATTTTGAAGAACAACAATCCCACCACTATTTTTTACCCATTTTTGCATATATAATTATATGGTGGTTGTCTTGTTTGTGTGTTTCTTAGTGGTGATAGATGGTGTAATGAGGACGAAGATGAGGGAGGGACTTACGAAGGGCCAGAGATGAGGGAGGAGGGAGGGTGTTGGAGAAGAGTACACTTGTGTTCAGAAAAATCGTTGGACCTCTCAACCGGTCAAACCAAGTCAAATCAAACTGTTGTCGACGGTTTGAGTGGTTTGATTGTCCGGCCCCGTTTGAAAAATAGGCAAACTGCTCGGACTGCAGTTTGAACATTTTTTAAGCGGTCTAAACTGAACCGACCGTCAAAAACAATTATTCCAGCTATTGTTGCTGGACTTGTCAAAAAAAAATTTATTTTGCTCAATTTTTTTTAATCTTGGAGATACACACATTTTTTATAGTTTTTTAATAGTGTTATGTTAGTATAAATTTAATTTTCGATATAAATATTATGTTTTTTTAGTTTAAAGGCGATAAGAAGCCTGAACCGGTCAAAACAAACCGCCTTTTGTGGTCCGATTTGACCACTTTGGTTAATTGCAACCAAATCGCTCAGTTTGAAAATTTTATAAGCCGTTATTGCGGTTTGTTTTGTGGTTTGGAGGGTTAAACTGTCTAAACCGGACCGCAAACACCACTAGAGAAGAGGGAGTATCACCGATGGAAAAAGTTACTTGTTGGGACAGACATTATAAAGGAAGTGGGTTTTCTGGTTGTGTTCTTTTTTAATTATTAATCCTTGTACAACAAATTCTCTAAATTGGAAAAAAATGAAGATTCTTAGACAATTTTTTACTCCAAGAGATTCTTCAAAACTCTCTAAAATGAAAAAAGCATGAGAGAAGCATTTTTTTAATTATATTTCCACAAAAAAAACATTGAAATTAACCACAAGGGTGGTGTCTGATTAGTTTGAGTTTGGTACAAATGTCAAAAGTATCTGGAGGTCTCAGGTTCAAATCCAAGAAGGAATAAAAATTCTCTTGAGATCACGGAGATTCAAATGTGTTGACTTCGGGCTATCTGTAAAACAGATGGTCATTTTGAGATTAGTCAGCTCGCATAATAAGTTGAATATCCAGGTTAATCGACAGAATTTACAATTTACCACTCAAAACAGTAAATTAAAATTTGTACAATAAATCAAAAGAAAATTAATTAAAATAGTAATTTTGATATGTGGGTTTCATTTCTTAACACGATTTCCAAATTTACATGTTCTGACCTCGTAATTATGGATCTGATTTAAAATTTTCATTTTTTTCTTACACTTTAATCCTTTATAAATTATGAAGACCTATTAGTTATATTTATAATTTTACAAGAGAAGCAACTAAAAAGTAAAACTTTATGATTAAAATAAGTATTTTAATTAATTTCTTAGAGCCAAAATTGCATTTCTTCTTAGTAAATCAAAAATGAAAACAGTAACTGTGACGTCATCAAATGAAAGCACGTGGAAGCCATGACCCTGCACATATGCTTTTCCGCCCTCACAGATTACTTCTTCGCTAATCCACCTACCTCTCAAAATCCCCCTTTCCCTTCCATTCCATTCCATTCATCGGAAAATCCATCAACAATGGCTTTGGAATGGGTGGTTTTGGGTTACGCCGCCGCAGCCGAAGCCGTCATGATCATTCTCCTGACCCTCCCCGGCCTTGACGCACTCAGAAAAGGTCTAGTCGCCGTTACAACCAACCTCCTCAAACCCTTCCTTTCCGTCGTCCCCTTTTGCCTCTTCTTGTTAATGGACATCTACTGGAAGTACGAAACCATGCCCAGCTGCGAATCTCAGAACTGCTCTGCATCCGAAAACCTCCGCCACCAGAAATCAATCATGAAAAGCCAGCGCAACGCTTTACTTATTGCGACTGCGCTAGTCTTTTACTGGATCTTGTACTCTGTTACGAAACTCGTTGTTCGTGTTGACCAGCTCAATCAGCGCATTGAGAAGTTGAAGAACCAGGAGTAAGTGGTGGATCCGTACCCTTTTGTGGGTAGATTGAGATAAGTTATGTCTGGATTTGATTAAAATAGACTCCTTCAGTGTTCTATGAGTATCCATATGTGTTGAATATTATTCGAATTTGAGGCTTGGTAATGGTGAATTCTACTATTAGTACTGTTTAAATGCTTTGTCTAAGATCATGTTGCCAGAGAGATGAAATCGATTTGATTTGTTAAGGAGATATACATTGAGTTAGCCTTCGTTATATGTCACTTTATTTGAACAATTAATTGATGATTTTTTCCCGATCATAGGCTTGTGATGCGAATTATGTTTCCAATGATGAAAACTGTCGTACTATGAAGATAACTGTTGAAACGCGGTTTATTTTTGTTAGTTTAACTATGGAGATTATAGAATATGGGCTTATGGAGCTAGTTAGATTCAATTTTTCTAAATGATTTCAGACATTTTATTCTTGTTAGAGCTTGAGCTTAATTGGGAGAACGTTTTGGAATTGATAGAGATGAAAAGGGTGCCCTTAGTTGGATTTGGTTGAAGTTGGTTCTTAGGAACTTTATAAAAATTACATGAAGATTAAGAGCTTAGATGAATTCTACTAAAGAATGAAGGGGAGTTATGCAGCCAAGATCCTTTTGGTGCTTAATCGCCTAAGCCGGATTAAGCAGATGAATAATGAATTACACTGTTAATTCTAAATTATATTAGACTGTGAAGTGTGGAAACATATGGTAGTTGAAAGTTTGATACTTTATTCGTTATAGTTACTTTCTTAATAGTTACGCACAACAAGTGATTTGTGGTTTCTTTATCAAGTTTACAGATTAAGATAAGGCGTTTGGTAGTTGCTGAATGATTTAGTGCAGAATGATTAAAAGGCTCTTATTATATAGTGCAAAATGAAATATAATTGTTTGATAATTGTTTTATAATAAAATTAAGGCGCTGAATGGTCAAAGGAGATCCGGGATGCAAAATCATTAAGAGGATTTTGGAACCATTAAGAGGCAGATTTTTGTTTGCCAAAGAAGATTTACCTCTTAACGATTCAGAGGCCGCCTCTTAATGGAACTATTAAGAAGTAAACAAACAACCCCTAGTTACCTCTGATTTCCGCAGATTAATTGATGTAGAACAAGACCAGAAATATCCATTTCTAAAACCCAGCCTTTTCCTTTTCTATGCTTATAAAGTATAAAGTATGCATTGTTTGAAGTTGGATTGCAAGCTATTGGGCAAACTAGTGTTTGAATCAGTCTGAATTAGTTGCTAAATGCCTAGACTTTTAGAACACTGTTTGCTATGATTATAATCTTGTTTAGATGGAGGTGGATGAAACAAGGTAAGTTTGTAATCATTGTGATTGTAATGGTCATGTTGGCATTTCATGGGGAAGAGCTAGTGATTATTTCGGCTACTGGATTTTCGACTTTTTGGAAATATATTAGCCAATGAATTAGTAGTAATTGTTCTTGAAAGAGAGGGGTGTACACAGGTGGAGGTGGAGGTGCAGAAACCTCTTGGCAAAAATGCAGGCTAAGGGGCCGTTTACCAAACGCTTATCCAGGTAAGGGCTTATCAAGTAACATTATTTCACCGGATAAATATGGTAAGTACCAAGAATCTTACCTGGTAAGAGCGAGACAAGGACCAAAGAGTCTTACCCGGTAAGTGAGGGCGACGACTCTTACCACGGTAAGCGCTTATTGGGTAAATTGTTGCATACGATGACGCGTTTTGGTGGACTAAAATTTTACCTTATAAGTAAATGATAGTGTTAAATTTTACCGATAAGCACTTATAGGGTAAGTGTTTGGTAAACAACCCGTAAGACTACTTCAGCAAAATCAATGACCCTGGGCAGCCCCTTTTCTTGTGGTTTCATATTTGCAATGCTTTCTTCATCTGTGTCCGCTGAGTTTGATTGTTGATTTTTTATTATATTTCACTAATTAAAAACATTGAAATGAAATATGTAAGAGGAAAAGATAATATTTTATTAAATGTATATAATATTTTAATAATATAAATTAATGATGTAATCTTTAAAATGAGGAACCTGGTGGAGTTAAATACACTTATTTTTAGAAATTTTAAGCTTTAATTCTTTATTTTACAAATTCTTTAAAGAATCTGTTGAAGATATTCTAACAATTGACTCCATTCTTGTGTGTGCTTGCATAATATTTACTTATAATATAGTATAAAGCATTTAAGCTAAATTATTAAAAATTATTTTTTATGCATTAAGAACCATTTATTAATGCATATTACTTGAAAGAAAAATTAAGATTACAAGTTGATTAAATATAAGTATAATTTATTAAAACTTCATTTTTGAATTTGTGTAAGTAACTGTAGATAAACATAATAGATACAAGATAAAGATAAAACACTTGTTATTTCTAAAATTTTAAAACTTTTGATATAACTAACCAACAAACACAAGAAAATCCGAGATAAAATGACTCATTTTGATACTTTTATTAAAGTATGCTATCTTTCTTAATTTTAAATCTACTAGAAGGGTACTCGCGCAATGCAATGAGATAAATCTTTATTTTAATGTTTAGTTTTTATTATTTGTTTCTATCGATATAATACGATTTTATGTGGTTTTGAGAAAACGGTAATTTTTTTATTTTTGAATGAAATATAAATTTGAATATAGCATAAAAAATTATAAAAAAATAAAATCGATTTTAGTATTAAATTAACTATTTAATAGTTCTCTCTTTTTTTTTTTTTTTTGTAACTTCTTTAATTAAATTTTTTATTATAATTTAATTTAGGTCTAATAACAAAATAATTTATTTTTGGTTTAATAATATAATTTTTATTAAAGATAATAATTAAACATTCAGTTAGAAACTCAATGATTATCTTAATTATATTTTAGATTTTATATATTTAAAATAGATGTTTATCTTGTATTTAATTATGTTTATCTGCAGTTAGTTACACAAATTTAAAAATGAAGCTTTAATAAGTTATACTTATGTAAAATCACTTGTAATATTGAATTTTAAGTAATATGCATCAATAAACAGTATTTCATGTATAAAAAATGGTTTTTAAGAGTTTGTGTCAAATGTTTTATAATATAGTATAAATTTTTATTAAAGATAATAATTAAACATTCGGTAAGAAACTTAATGATTATCCCAATTATATTTTAAATTTTTTATATTTAAAATGAGATGATTATACTATATTTGATTATGTTTATCTGCAGTTAGTTACACGAATCAGACATGAAGATTTAATAAGTTGTACTTACGCATAATCTACTTGCAATTTTGAGTTTTAAGTAATATGCATTAATAAACAGTACTTTACGCATAAAAAGTGGTTTTTAAGAGTTTTTGTCAAATGTTTTATAATATAGTATAGATATTTATACTATAGTATAGATATTTATACTATATTATAGAACATTTGACAAAAAATCTTAAAAACCATTATTTATGCATGAAGTACTATTATTAATGCATATTACTTAAAATTTAATATTACAAGTAAATTGTGCGTAAATACAACTTCTTAAAGCTTCGTTTTTGAATTCGTACAACTAATTGCAAATAAACATGATTAAATACAAGAAAAACACCTCATTTTAAATATAGAAAATCTAAAATATAATTAGGATAATTATTGAGTTATAACAGAATCATTATCTTTATAAAAATTATATTGTTAAGCCAAAAATAATTACTTCGCTAGTTGACCTAAATGTATTATAAAAAATTTTGAACTAAAGAAATTGTACAAAAGAACGAAAACTTTCGAGAAGTTGATTTGATATTAATATCACTATGTTTTTTGAAATTTTTATGATATCTTCAAATTTATTTTTATTCAAAAGCAAAAATATTACATTTCTCAAAATCACATAAACCTTGTTATAGCAACAACGACAAAAAATAAAACGAAACATTAAAATGAAGATATATCTCGTTGTATTATACGTGTACCCTTCTAGTTATATTATGAAGAATTTGACAAAAACTCATAAAACCCATTTTTTATACATGAAGTACCATTTATGATGCATATTACTTAAACTTTAAGATTACAATTAAATTGTGCTTAAGTACATTTTATGAAGGTCCATGTTTAAATGGAGGTGGATGAAACAAGGTAAGTTTGTAATCGTTCTGATTGTAAGGGTCAAGTTGGCATTAAATGAGACAGAGCGTAAGCTAGTGATGCTTTCGGCTATTGGACTTTCGACTTTTCAGAAATATAGTAACCGACGAATTAGTAGTTGTTGTTCTTAAAAGAGAGAGAGAGTTGCCTTTGAACACATGGACACAGTTGGAGCTGGGCCGGCCCTGGGCATAGGCCCAAGGGGCGACGGCCCAGGGCATCAAAAATCTTTGGGGTATCAAAAATCCTAAAGCCCAGTGTATATATATATATATATATATATATATATGTTCAGTTTTTATTTTGGGCCTAAAAAAGATATTACCATTAGCCTTAGTCCGTTCCACTTACCAGATCACCAGTCCATGTCCATCATCCATTCAATCGTCGCTCAATCGCTCGCTCTCGCTCTCGCAACAGAAATCGACGCTCCCTCGCTCTCCCTCACTCCTCCCTCGTTCTCGCTCGACGCTCTCTCTCTGCCTCTCTCGACTATCGACGGCCGGCGTCTGCCGTCTGCGGGACTGTCGTCTGCGGCTGCCTCTCGTCGCCAGTCGGCGGTCGCTCTCGCCTCTCGCTCTCCAGCCTCCACTACTGTTGACTGTTGACTTGTTGAGGCATTGACATTGAGGTTAGGGATTTAACATTTAAGTCTTTAACTTAGGTTATTATAGTAGTTATTTAGTTATTTTATTTACTTTACAGTTTACTTACTTTATTTTTTAAATTTTTAATTTTGTTTGAATGTTTGATTGAAAACCTAATAATGAAACTAGCTTAGTCTGTTTAGTGCTTAGAAGCTGTGAATGTGATTATGTCATTATGTGATTGTGAAATTCAGAAATTGGTGACTTGCTTTGTTGGACTATTTTAATTTGTTTGACTCACACCACACTTACTGATTGTTTTTGTTTCACTTGTTACAAATCAGTGAAACCACAAAATTAGAATTTAGAAACAAATGACAACCATTTGTTAATGTTTTACAGAATTTACACGGGGTTTTGGTTTATGTCCCTCCCCTCCC